TCAGGGGCAGGAGGGGCAGGCCAGGAGATGCCCATTCGCTGAATGAGTTGAGGATAATTTCAGCAAAGGGCTTGTATGTCTTTAGTATTTGGCATAAGAACATAAGGAGAGCTCTTCTGTATCAGACAACAGACGTATCTAGACAAGCATTTTGTTTTCAGTGGTCAACCAGAAGCTTAAAGGAAGCCACAAGCTGAACATGAGCACAGCAGCACACTCTTCTTTAAGTATGTTACAGCATGCTTACTAAATTCATGCATGCATAAACACACACATACTTTTAAAAAACATATATGGATAGGGATTCTTTTCATTTTCTTTAAATGTAAAGAAAAGTGGATCACAAGTGTGAAAGTAACTAGCTGACACAGAACTGGCTGCTAAATACTTCAAATCCAGAAAATTCAAATATAGAAGGCCCTTTCCTCCTCCAATTTTTTCTGGCTAATTGTAATTTTTGCCGGAATACATATTTGTTCTCTGATCTGTCCAGCGCCTTCTGTCAGTGAACTCTCGGTATCTAGATATCCAATTTTTCAGAAAGAATATAGGGGCAATCAGCTTCTTGAAAATTTCACATCTCTGACTTTGCAACTTTGCTGTGAAGTTTGCTTTTAGAAGCAAGTGTTTCTGCTGAAGGAGAGAATTATAATAGGATGTCACAGAGAATTATGCTAATGCAGCTAAACTTAAAGTGACATGAATTTGGCTTTATACTGATCTTCCTATGCTGAAGACATTTCAAAATGCCATAACACAAAGCTGAACACACCAAGAGTAGAGTTGTGCAGACAGTGATGACAGAAATTGTTTCTTGTTATGCACCCAAGATGTATTTTACAATTGACTACACTATTCTCACATAATTCACTTTCAGACTCTCGTGATCTCAATCTAGACTTTCAGTCTAGCCTCTTTGCATCCATATCAAGTGCTTAGCTTGATTGAAGTGGCAGATATTCCCAAAGTTACTTTGATTTATGTCAAGTGAATAAGTTATGAACTATATTAATGAAGGCTGTTCAGAAACTGTAGCTACTAACTGGGACCAGTAAATGGAACACACTGGTTCTCAGCCATTTCTGGACACATTTGAAAGTATGCTGGCATTGACCTATGAGCTTTGGATTCAGCTACCTGAAAGATTGGCTCCTCTTACATGAATCCATGATCATGATCTTCCTTAGAGCTTTCTTAAACACAGGGGTTTCTTTTTCTTTCATACTTTAAAATAATTAAGAAGTGGCTCTAGATATTTTTTTCTTAATTGTGCAGCTTCATACTGGCCTTTCCTTTCTGGTGTGTGCTTGTGTTTTCCAAAAGGCCTTTACAATGTGAGGCTGTCTACAATGCTGCCTGTGGAATTGCTAAGAGCTCTGAGGTTTGTTTGCTTGTTTTTGTCAGAACACAGCAATATATGTTGCTTTTTCTGTAGAACACATAGACGACGCTTTTGAGTTTAGCTGCTGTTTTTTGACAAGAAGAGCTCTTCAGTGCTCTGCAGGCAACATTTGAGGAACACAGAGATATATAAGAAGACAGAACCATATGGTAGAGAAATGGAGTAAAAGAGCAACACAAGGCTTTATGGGGGGCCCTGAACTGACTTAAGGGGGCTTACTAGCATTACATTTTTACTTGGAAGGGGGAGAAAGTCCCTCAGATCACTGATTCACCTCATTTGACCCCCACATGAGAGCTGATATGCCATGATAGTACGATGCCAAGTGAAAAGTATGCTGCCACCCCAAATTATAGCAATCTCCAGAATGACACCCTAGATAACTCCCTCTTTTATATAAGAAAAAGACACCAGCTCCTTAGAACTTAAATGTATAATTTACTCATAGTAAAGGAAAGGCTATCCGTTATATTCCAAGTTGCCTTCAAGAGCAGGTGGCCCAGAGAGCCTAATCATGTATCTATTCTCTGGTAACTTTCATGGGGGGCTGCCCTTGAAGATGCTTCAGAAATGGGCATCAGTTCAAAATGCAGCTGCTTACCAGGGTCAGGCTATATCTCACCTGTATTGAAACAACTTCAGCCGCTCCCAGTTGATTTCCCAACCCTAATTCAAGGCCGCAGTGCTTACCTTAACCCCCCGTTTGGCTGCAGACCTGCCTGTTTTCACCTGTATCTGAAGAACATAGGAGGACCCTGCAGGATCAGGCCCATCAGGTCCAGCATCCTGTTCTTGCATTGGCCAACCAAATATCTATGGAAGTCTGCACGCAGGAACTGAAGGCGAAGGCAAGAACACTTTCCCTGTCTGTGGTTTTCATCAACTAGCATTCTGAAGCCTATGGCTTCTGGCTGTAGAGACAGAGCATTGCTGAGATGGTGAGTTGAGGCTCTTGTATGGGCAACACTTATGCTATCTGAGGTAGAGTATACCTGAAGGAGCGTCTTCACCCGCATCATTCAACCCAGACACTGAGGTCCAGCACTGAGGGCCTTCTGGCAGTTCCCCCATGGTGAGAAGCAAAGCTACAGGGAACCAGGCAGAGGGCCTTCTCGGTAGTGGCACCCACCCTCCCATCAGATGTCAAAGAGAGAAATAACTACCTGACATTTAGAAGACATCTGAAGGCAGCCCTGTTCAGGGAAGTTTTTAATGTGTGACATTTTAATGTATTTTTAATCTTTGTTGGAAGCCGCCCAGAGTGGCTGGGGAGACCCAACCAGATGGGTGGGGGTACAAATAATAAATTATCATTTATTTATTTATTTATTTATTTATTATTATTATTATTATTATTATTAATTAGAGTAGGCAGTGACCAGGGAGAAATGTTTTTCGTGATAGTGCCCCAAATTTGGACTGTTCTCCCTGTAGAGTTTCATCTTGTACCTACGTTGCTCTCATTTTGATGCTGTGCAAATATTTTAATCTCCCAGGATCCTTAAAACATTAAAGCCACCATATAAGCCCCAGACTAGATGTAGCTTCACTCTTCTTAAACAAATAGCCAGCACAGGGGAAGAGTGAAGCTTGGGAAGAGCCCATGGTCCCTATCAAAATCCTCCTTGAGCCTGCTATTCATAATGAAGTAAATTCTATGGGGAGGAGGGGTAGAATGGGAGGAGAGCTCCCATTAGTGCTTAATGGGAGCCTTGCTCCCATTGCAAATACCAGGTATTGGAAAGGCCAATCCCAATCTCAGACCCTCCAAGTGTCCCTATTTTTCATTGACAGTCCCAGATTTACAGAAGCTGTCCTGGTTTCTGATTTGGTCCCAGAATGTCCCACTTTTCCTTAAGACATCCCTATTTTCATTAGAGAAATGTTGGAGTCTATGGAGTTATGTGACACCTGAGCCAAGGAGTTAACCTTTAGAAGACATCTGAAGGCAGCCCTGTATAGAAAAGTGTTTTTTTAGTGTTTAATGTTGTTTTATTATGGTTTTGTGTATGTTGGAAGCCGCCCAGAGTGGCTGGGGCAACCCAGTCAGATGGACAGGGTAACAACAACAACAATTTTCATGGGATAAATGTTGGAGGGTGTGCAATCTGGACTATAGTGGGAGCAAAGGGTTAAATAACCTCTCCTGACATGTCAGAGTCCCAATCTAGGTCAGGACACATATGCCCTACACTGGTTATTTGTCGAAATAAAGATCAATGGCAATCTTCTCTGCACAGTGTACAAACATTGCTTCCCTACATAATGAATAGAAATGTGTAGAAATGTTTGAAACAGGCAATGAGAGCTAACAGATTTTGCCCAGACCCAAGCTCACCCTACTGATGTATTTGCTAGTGCTGCCTGTGAAACAAATATTAATTTGTATTTCTTCCTTTCCCGTGTTGCGGATCCACAAATAAATATCAGCTAGGAATAGGAGGAAAGTGTGTGTCTGTGATTTTATCTCTGTAGAAAATCACAGCAGCCACAGTGAACGTGTCCAGATTTTGTCAATGGCATTACATCTGTGATGCCAGGCAGAAAGCATGTTTTTGCACATATCAGACACCTTAGAGGATGTGACAGACTGAGCACAGTGTGTTTCTTTCATTTCAGATGACAAGAACAAATCACTGCCCCTTTCTGAAGAGATGTAGCTGTCTATTTCTAGCCCCTGTGCCTAAAGAAGCCAGTGTTTTGCAGTTATAAGTTAGTACAGACAGGTGGGAACTTGCAAGGAGTTGTGAGGGGATGGGAAAGGAGGCAAGTCAATCATTAGAGAACCGAGTTTGAATTGGCCCCTTTGTACCAATTAGGTATTTCTCCACACTTATTTACAGTGACGACAAAGCTCAGGGCCGGCCCTACCATTAAGCAAAGTGAGGTAGCTGCTTAGAGGGCCAATCTAAGTCCAGTATATCTGAAGGAGCGTCTCCACTCCCATCATTCAGCCCAGACACTGAGGTCCAGCTCTGAGGGCCTTCTGGCGGTTCTCTCACTGCGAGGTTACAGGGAACCAGGCAGAGGGCCTTCTTGGTAGTGGCGCCCGCTCTGTGGAACGCCCTCCCATCAGATGTCAAGGGAAAAAACAACTATCCGACTTTTAGAAGACATCTGAAGGCAACCCTGTTTAGGAAAGTTTTTAATGTTTGGTGTTTTATTGTATTGTTGGGAGCCGCCCAGAGTGGATGGGGGAACCCAGCCAGATGGGCAGGGTATGAATAAATTATTATTATTATTATTATTATTATTATTATTATTATTAGAAAGTGGTTTGAATGGTACACCATGTGGTCTGCATTGCAACCCCTAAGGTAGCTTGCTGCCCCAGCATGGCTGGTGTGCCAGTTAAGTGACTTGAGGCTATCTGCCTCAGGCGGCATGCTCTTCCCAACCCACTGGGATGTGGGCCTGTGTTCGGGGGGGAAGTGTTAGTGGCACGTTTTACCTCAGGCGCCATAGGTCTCAGGCTGGCCCTAGGCACCCTCAGTTCTGTGGGGAAATCCCTTATTCCCATAAATCATAAATGACATTGTTCCAGAGAATGTCATGGATGTTCCCATCCCAGAATAGCACAATGACACAACACTTCACCTCACTTTAAAAAGTATTTATCAAACCATATTTTATCAAACTCCTATCCCAGAGATAATGGTTCAAAGCCACAGCCTAGTTTTCTAGGTGACCAAAGATCCACCATGTTTCTTTCCTCTGAGACAGATAACAATAAGTTACAACAACAACAACAATGGCAACAATAACAATCTGAGGGATACAATATTTTTCCAACGAAGTAGGAATATGAAATCAATACAGTGGCAGGTAATACGGAAAATAGCCTCACAGTTAAGCAAGGGAATAGCATTATGTTAAATTATCTGTAAAATCTGTTGTTACTGTGAAAAATGCACATTGCTCAAAAGTAACAGTGTTGTCAATGAAACTTGCCAAACTATGTAAATATTTGAATTTGTGTTAGAGAACCTGACATTTCCAAATTAGCTTTGCAGTTTATAAATAAAGCTCTAAACATACTCAGTATATCAGGGAAGATGTTTGGAATTAGTAATGAGTCTACCAAATGCTTTTAAGTCTCAGGTGGCCAACCTATGGCTTACATAGGGGGGACGTGGGCTCAATCCATCAGAAATCCTTTCCTCGTATGTAGTGCACATATATTTACCAGCTTAATTCTTTCTCAAGGAGCTGATACAGTGAAGTGTATTGCAGCCAACACTGTATTCTGACAAAATATTCCAAGTTTAATAAGTGTTTCTCCTGTTTTTAACAGATGGCAGTGGGCTCATAAATGAGTAATTTGTATAATATGGTTGTTGGTTCACTTGCTTTTCATGTCCCCCAAGAAAGAGATGAGCAGCAGCTCAATTTGAAGGCAGTTTACCCCTATGATAATCTTCTCACTGATGCAAAAAAAATTTTTTTAAATAAGCGTATTGGATACACAAGTGTAAAACATGAGTAGGGGATTGGATCCTATCAGTTAAACTACAGAATACTTTCCCCCAGGAAAGGCTAGTTATACCAAAACATGAACCAGCTTTTTCAGGAAGGATGTGTTCTTCCTATGTATCCTAATCTTAATTTGCATCTTGCATCATATTCCATTTTTTTAAGGATCACCATTTCCATTTTAGTCACCATTCTAAAACTCTTATTGGAACACACCTAAGCTGGAGCAGTAGGGCCATTCCTATATTTTTAATGCCCTATTAATCCTGCAAAAGCCCCTTCACAGGAAGTACCAGTCAAACGTGATGGAATTCTTTTGGATTCATCTTAAAACTCTGATCTCTTATTGTGTGGAGCACAGGATTAAAGAACTTCAGAGGACAACTAGTCATGGCTAGTAGGCAAGATTCTCTGTAAAATAGCCTAGAAATCAATGTAGAAATAATAGTTTTCATTTAAATAGCAGAAGAGCTTACTTCCCTTGTTGGAGTGAGCTTCAACAGCTTGAACATGAGACTTTGACATGTGACTGAGTGAGATTTGTTATTCCTTTTAAACCTTTTTGGTTGAGGTCTGACACCTGCATGGGAGACAATCGTACCTATTAAGTTGATAAAGATGTCCTCCAGTGGTGACAGAGAGACTATCAATATGAGCACACAAATATTAAAATCTTATTAAAAGTTCCTTTGAATAGTATTCTTTCCAATTGAATTATCAACATATATGACCACACATTGTATTTTCTCCTTTATATATAAGACTAGGAAGATTCGAAAAATACTGTGTTGGTCCAATAGGTCTCTTCTTGAGAGCCGGTTGAGATATATTTCTTTCACTTACCACACCAAAAACCAATCTTTTGTCCCCAATAAGTGACATGTCCCCAATAAGTGACCACGATTTAGCATTCATTTCTAAGAAGTCCGTTTTTGGGTTCAGCCATCATGGGGCCATTCGAGATGTTCAGCACCACACCTAAAGATGCTTCCAAATTCTCTTTTCAGCCAGATTTTGATGGAAGATTTGTAGCACCAGAAGAGTTTCAAACCCACAACATATTGGAAACTGTACGTAGGTCTGGCAGGTCCTCAACTCTGCAAGCCAGCTCCAAGTTAATCTACGACTAGTTGGAAGAAGCTTGGCCAAACCTTCAAGACAACTGCTGAGAACATAACTAAAGGCAACCATGTTAAAAACAACTCTCAAGGAAGTTTGAAAGGCTGGTACAATCAGATTTTTTTTCCACAAAACACTGCGGGAGCATCTAACTGCTGTTTTCTCAAGTGGGAAAAGTCCAGTCTCTAAAAGGATACAGTCCTATAATTTCAGGTTACAGCAATTTCAAGATTTACACAACATTAAAATGAAGTGTGTTTATGGTAGCCTGGTAAAAATATGGAGTGATTTATCACTTTTAAAAGGTAATTGAATGGTGAGTCCACATGTTCCACAGATGGGTGTTAGGGCTGTGACTCATTTAAATCTTCCTGCATCAAGCCTTGATTTGGGTAGGATCTGATGACCCCATACATAAGCTGAATCTGAGGCTCAATTATGACAAGGTAAGTGCAAAAAAGCTAAGGGTGTTCTTTCATGGTAAAGTTGCAATGCAGTAGATGCAAACTTCTACCACATATTGAGGAGCTACTTCCAAAAACGAAGCAAAGATATTAATATGAGATTCAATGTTTCTAGAGATATACATTCGCTGACTGTATATGCATTTTTAATACCCGTCTGTTGAGAAGATTATGCTGATGTTAATTATTCCGGTATGAAAACAGCTCTATCCTCATGTTTATTTCCAGATTTCTCTCTCGCACAACTAGAGCTGACGCCTATTCTCTTTTTTTCCAATGGGTGGTTCATAACTGTCCTCATCAATTATTTACCACTAATTCATATTTCATTGCTGAGTAATGAATCTCAACTACTTGTTTAGAAAGTTTAAAAACAAGTGCTGTGTGGTCATATATGTCAGTTTAATTGGGAACAGTGCAAATCAAACCATTTTAAAAAATTTACTCAAGTGGGACTGCTAGAGGATATGGGTATAATCACCTTTTCCTCAAATCATCCCTCGAAATAGTCAAAGAAGGAAGGGCGAAGACTGGCAGCTTTTCCACTGTGAAAACTTGCACAAAATTCTGATCAGAGATGTAGCTGTCCTCACTGGCAAGTTGTTTGCCAGGGAGATGCCTTAGGGATGCTTGTGTGTGTGAGAGAGAGACAGAAATCATAGGAAGTGAGTCACAATGGAATAATATGCAATAATAAATGGTGTTAGTGTGGTATCTTGATAAGTATGGAAATGTTTGGTATGTGGTGAAGAGGAGCAAGAAGAACAATGATGACTTGGGAACCCAGAAGATCCTCCCCCACTGCCTTGTACTTTTCATATGTAAGAGTCAGCGCAGATAGTTCAAAAGTTGTTCAAGGAAGCAAGTCCTAATTGCAGTGATGGCACACAGTGATGGAACACCACTTTAGGACATAACTGGCCAGTGATCAAAGGACTAGCCTGCTCTCACCTTTCTGGAAAAGAAAGAGAAAACTGGTATGGAGGCATTTTAGAGCCTTGGGACTTCAAAATCCTCCACCCAATAAAGAGAATGTGACCTAGATCAGATTAGACTTCCTTGACCAGAGAAAAAAGCCATGGGGCTAAGCTTTCCACAAAGGCCTTCAACACATTGGTTTTTCATATTACAGCTCCATGTTTCCAGTCATAGCAAGGGAAGAGGAGGAGTTATTTGAATGAAGAAGTGTGGAAGAAAGTGTGAAACTGCCAGGAGGATGGAGAAGGGAATAGGTAAGGTTAGAGTGAAGGCTTCTAGAAGTCATAGGGAGTGATTCAACTAACAAGCCCTGCTAGTGGAAGACCACGCAAGGACTTCTGCTACCGTTATGGGGCTCCCCACCTTCCCCATCAACTGATGGACTAGCAAGGTGGGTTGAACAGAATTGGCCACAACGGAGCAATTGTACGGCTGTTTTCTGTTTACTCAATCCCTACTGAGTAAACCACAATCCATGCCACAATGGAACTATAAACATCAGTTGAAGGAACTGCAGTGCCCATGCATGTGAGGCACTTGGTGCTGCCCGGTAAAGATCAGGTTCTTCTGCATCATATTGTCCACACTTTTGCAAAGACCACTTCTCAACCATCTGCTTTAGGTGCAGCAGCTGAACCTCAACCATCTCACGTGTAGACACACTCAAAGAGAAGCAGCATATTTCAACCTTGGAGTTAGGGGGTCTGATTGTGGGCTGCATTTCTTCAGCTATATTAGCTAGTTATAGAATGCTTATAGTAGAGAGCTAAGGTTTCAACATTACCGTTATCAGACATCAACACACAGTGAATGATGGAGGTCACAGGTAGCTTTTAACATGCAGATCTGAGTCGACGGAAATAGCCATGCAATTGTGGAACCAAGAATTCAACGTAGTCAAGGACTGCATCAACCATGTGCTCAAAAGTCACAGCAAGTCAAGAGCCACTGTGTTATTTTTAAATAAGTACATCAAACAGCAGGAGATGTAGCAATGTGCATAAGTGAGTAAGGCAGTAAGCAAGGCCTAAATATCAACAGAAAGACTAATCAGGAACAGGTTTGAGGAAAGAGGCAGAACCAGTAGCAAAACAAGCAACCAGGGCAGGAACAGGAATGGACGGAAGGTATTGATGTAGACCACAGATAGTCAACATTATGCCCTTCAGATGCTGCAGACTCCAGTTCCATCATCCTTAACCAGCAGCTATACTGGTTGGAGCTGATGGGAGTTGTAGCCCACAACACCTGTAGGGCACCACGTTGGCTCCTCTGGGTGAAACAAACTTTGGGGAAATTCTGCAAGGCACAAACAGATGATTAGGTGGAATAAAGAGAACAAGAATGAGAGGGTTCGCTGTCCCTGAGCATCTTCGGTGTGCTTCTCTTGACCTCGCATAGAACACCTGAGTGTGCTAAGAAACAAGACAAAATTCAGAAAATGCTTTCCCATAACCATTGTATTTCAGGCGAGGAAATTTGATGTAAGAGCAGATGACACATTACATGGAAATGAGTGCTATGAAACCCAACCTTGGTCTTTTCATGAAAAGCAGTCCCAGGAGACCAGCAGCGGTGGAAGAGGTGGGATAGAGCAGCACCAGCATCTTCCTGGCAGCAGGGCAGCCACACCCTAAGATACTGCAGAGATGAGGTGGTTGCGAGGTTGAGGGACCTCCAGGTTGGTGCTGGTGGCTCCTAAGGTGCCAACGCCACCAACACAGAGCTCCTGTAACCTCACCGCCACATCACCCTGGCAAACACAGCGCCACCAATGGGTGGGAGGGCTGCTCTACTCCTCCCCTATGGCACTTTGCTGCAGGAGGCCACAGTTTTGAGCAGAGAAGCAGTGGGGTGGGAAAAGGAGCTTAAAGTCTTCATATCAGGCATTCCCCACCCCCTCAAAATTGGTCCTAAGCTGCCGCATGGTTTAGCCTAATAAACACCTGGTACACTGTGGATGAAAAAAGTAGGTGGGAGCAATTTTGAGCAGAAAACCATTAGCAGGAAATGGTTTAAGAGCACACACACTTCCCTACTCCTCCACTTAGGCTTTTCATTCTTAAGTCTTGGGCTTCATTGCATGCATTTGCCTGTAATGTGTAAGTTAACCCCTTAGCGGGCTGGTCTTCAGGCTCGTGACAGTTGTGCACTTGACAGTTGAGTGCTGCTGCATGACTCTGTCAGTTCTTCATCTTCTTCTTCTTCCTCCTCCTTCTCTGCTTGTTTATGAGGAAGCTCATAGGGCTTAGTTGTCTTATTCAGCTTTTCTAATCGCCATTTCATTATTTTCTTGAAGCGTTCTTCTTCCAACTTCTGTTTTTCTTTAAGCTCCAGCGCCAGGAGTTTTTCTTCAAGTTTCAGCCTCATCTCCAATTCCCTCTCCCACTGTTGCAAAGGAAAGAAAAAGTGGTTTTAGTAGTGATATTGGTGTGTAAAAGCAAAACACTTCAATTCAATGGCAGGAAATTTAGGAACTGGGCATTGGGGGAGTCAGTGATGGATCATGCAATGTCATTCAAAGGAGTAACAGGCCCTGGGCTGGTGCTTTCAGATTCTGGACTGCAATTCCCATCAGTATGGTTGTAGCCCAACAACATCTGGGGGGCACTGGTCTGGCTAAGGTATACCCTACAAAGTGTATTCATTTCCTATGGTGCTGTTGTGGGGTCTGCAGGTTCATGACAGGATCCTCAGGAGCTCCGAATGGCAAGTTTTAATGTCCGTCTCAAGCGAATTGCAGAATTCACTGACAATGTGAAGATCAAATATTTTAAAAGCAGGTGTGAGAACCATACGTCTTCAGATATAATTTCATATCATTTTTTGTAATATTAGAAAATGCACACACATGGAATTCATATGGCTAGCAATATCAGGGACTTGATAAAACCAGCTAGCAGGAGCCTCAGCTGATACAGAGGAATGGCCACGCTTTCCAACATGCCAGGATCTGTTACCTGAAAGTGAAATGCCAAAAGGCACCACATCAAAAGGCACACAATGTGGGTGCTATCAATGCCACAAATGCTGGCAAGAACCATAGATATGCGTATCACATGAAAATTGTACATTAATTTTATGCACATTAAAATGTGTAAATCATCCGCCATGCTCCAGTTCAGACTGCATCTCCCAAAAGGCAAACTCCTGCCCTGCTCAATTCTTATTGTTTTCTAAGCAAGAAATATGTTACTTTTCTGAAAGAAAAGGAATCGTTCACTGATACAGACTTTGATTTGACATGACCCTGCTTAAATTTCAAATAGCAGAAACTATGACTTGAGAATTCCACCCAACTCTTAAGCATATTAATAAATGAGAAGTTCAGCATGGGGTCTTATTAACAGTGCCAGCATTAGGGGGGAAATTGAGGTTGGGGTATGGAGAAAAAGCAGTGTGAATTCTGGGGGAGGGCAAGCTTTGTCCCACATTTTTAAATATTCCACATGTTCTGGAAATAACAGTACATTGCATATTAACCTCTCATCCCTTCTCTAATAACCTCTTGCATTATTTCATATGGTGAAAACGTGTTTTCCATTATTTTCTCGTTTGTTCTCACAACAGTTGTGTGAGGCAGATTGCACTGAGAGCTATTGACTTGCCCAAACACTACACAGTAATCTCAAGTGTTGTAGAAGTCCCTTGTAGAAATTTACACACAACATTAACACTGTATGTTAATTTCATATCTGATGATCACATCTGTGAGTTTTTCAATGTTTGTATGTATGTACAATCAACATAGAGGGATGCGAGTGGCGCTGTGGGTTAAACCACAGAGCCTAGGACTTGCTGATTAGAAGGTCGGCGGTTCGAATCCCTGCTCCTGCCAACCTAGCTAGTTCGAAAGCACGTCAAAGTGCAAGTAGATAAATAGGTACCACTCCTGCGGCGTTTCCATGTGCTGCTCTGGTTCGCCAGAAGCAGCTTAGTTATGCTGGCCACATGACCTGGAAGTTGTACGCTGACTCCCTTGGCCAATAAAGCGAGATGAGTGCCACAACCCCAGAGTCGGTCATGACTGGACCTAATGGTCAGGGTTTCCCTTTACCTTTACAATCAACATAAACACATGTATATTCACAGCTTGCCAGTGAAAAACCTGCACATCACATGATAGCAGGTTCCATATTAATTCCCGCCCTCCCCCCAAAAAAAAATCATGTGGGAATTTTTGTAATGTGAGAAGTGGCTCTGAGCATAGACAACTTATATCACAAACCCACCAGCACCCTACTTGGTGCACCATATTGGCCTTTGGGCTTCCATCGCCCACTTCCTGTTCCCTTCTGTCATCCTCACTTCATGAGGTGATCTTGAGGTGATCACATAGTGAATTGTAGTACATATAAAGCGAAGGAAAGCTATGAACATGAGACATTCCCCTCGTGTAGAATAAACCATGCCTCTCTAGTACCTGAAAAAAGCTGCATTCATATGACATGGTCACCACATAGAAATAGTGTGGTGAAATCACCTCACAAAAAAGTAGCCCACTCGAAAAAATGATATGAGAATTAATCTTCCTCACAAGAGACAGAAAGATGGATGCAGTGGTGTATTTGAAGGCCAAAGAAATATGAAAAGGGATAGGAATGATTTTATCAGAGTGTGAGAGATGAAATAGCAAGAGGGAAGAAAAAGAAGCAACGACAATGGATGGGAAAGGCGGAAGAATTGTACTAGCTGTGTGAAGACGCTGCTGTGTTAGAAGATGGATCAGTGGCAAGACCTTAGCCTAGCTTAAGTTTTTATCATGAAGCTCTTCGCATTGAAGACGGACTCTGTAAAGGAGCAATATTTGCACTGATCTCGCTGTTTGACCACGTGTCCAGCACAAGAAAATGGGTGTGCGTATGGAACAAAGTACAACCTCTACAAAGGAAAATAGACAATGTCAGGGGTACAAATGATGTACCAGAAAGACTAAAACTGTTTATGACTGTAGTCAAGGAAAAGTTCGCATCTTGTTTTGAGACTTGATGATAACATCCTTACTGCATTAATGGAGGCCCTGAAGGTATGGTCTTATGCGTAGAAACTGCAGCTTAGAATAAAACAGCAATAAAAATGTGTCGTTTATTAAAGAGAAGGGCAGTTTGGATTTAAAAAAGGAAAAAGGAGAAAGGGTTTAGAAATAATCACTGCATTAAAAAGAAGTGATAAGACTTTTAAACATGGGGGGAAAGATTTCAGAGTCTGAGAAAACTGGTGGGGTTTTTTTTAGGGGGGATGATTGCTTTTATGGGATGCCCCCAATTACATTATGGGCTGGCTAACCTTAAATAATAAAATGCCTTCCTTCTAACAGAGTATTGTAAGCAAACTAGTAGCTTGTGGGCATTTTTGCTATGGTTACGATTATTATCAGCTGGCAGAACTGCTCTGAGTTATAAAATATATTTCAGTGCACTTAGTATTTTCACTGCCTCCAGAGTCAGAACTCAATGGTGAATTAACTCTAAAAGCTTGTTTAATGTATCAGAAAACGTATATTCCTTTCCTTTCATTCCCCAAACTGGCTTAATAATAGCAGATTTTAAACACTTTCAGAAAGAATGTTCCAGCCAGTTATGCAAAAGATGGGAAGAAGAAAACCTCAAGACCCAAATGTTTATGGAACATCTCCAAGTTCTGCAGGACTCTAATCATTAATGAAAATGTTGATTACTCTTTCCTCACCACAGTGCTCGGAAGTTGGTAAGGCAGAAAGTGAGCAACTTGCCCTAGGCAAACCAGTGAGCTAAATTCAGAGCTGAAAGGGGAATTGAAGGTTTTTGGCTCCACAATAAAATTGGACTCTTTTCTCCATCCAACATCCTATTCCCATAAGATTAGAGTCAGAAAGAGAAATGGCTTAACGTAATACTTATAAAGAAGCAGCACTACTACCTTCTACCCCGATTGCTTCGAGGGCTGCCAGATTAAAATTTTAAAAATAAAATATGATGTGGAAATCTCCAATACTTTGAACCGAAGGAACTCTGAAATAGAGGGTGGCAGCTGCAGGCTCTGGAGCAGTGAGTTCAAACGTGTCTCTTAAAATAAGCAGCACCAGGAAACCCTAAGTGGTTCAGATAGTGGCAAATGTTCTGGGACAAAGTGAGGCTACACATACAGTAGGGAACCTATTTAAACTGCAGAATATATAATATCAATATTTAATATACCGGTAGATCTCATATTTGCACGTGCCGGTTATGAAATTTGTAGTGGAAATTAACAAGCATAGTTTCAAAGTCCAATGAAATTGATGCTGAAATTTGACCTCAATTGTGTGTGTGTGTGTGGTGGTGGTGGTGTGTGTGTGGTGTAATGGTTGAAATTGAAATTTAATGGCAAAATTCAAATTGTTTTATGGATTACATGAATGAATGCCGTTCATATAAAATTTTCTGAATTCTGTTGCAAGTCATCTGTCAAACACTGCCACATACTACAACCCCATAGCAGCCGACTGCTTCCAGGTGTCAACTGTCAGTAGTTCTGTAATGTTGATTATTAACACATGTCAGCTGTGAAAGACTGTCAAGTACTGATTTTTCCAACAATGATGGCTATTTCTCCATGCCAGCTGTCAGATACTTCAAAATTTTGAGCCCAGCTACAAAATATTTGGCTGTCAGATGATAGTGCTGAATATACACACCTGGAGAATATTCGGCAAGTACCCTGAGAATATTCACCAATAAAATTTACAGCGGGCACTTTTGAGGATAACTTTGTGAGAATTTATTATTATTATTTTTTAGCTCTAAGTGCAAATGTGCAGAAAACTGTGATTAACAAATCACTTAACTGGTTGTGTGAAAATAAGTTTGGACTGCATAGGCCTGAGAGGTGGTTTAATTGCATACACAACAAGTTACCTTATAAATTCTAGTGTTAGGACTGTAATGCTGACCCTTTTAACAAGTTGTGTGGAAGTAACAAGGGCACGTTGCTTATTTTTCACTTCTAAAAATGTGAAGTCTACTAGTGTATTTTTAGCAAATGGCTGTGATACCTGAATACCGTGAACCAGATTTTTTCATCTGCTCAATAAACGAGCATTCTTCCTCTACACTGGAAATGGGGGCACTCTTATTAATATTTTTAAGGATACCTTTTATAGCCCCAAGTGGCTCCCAGGGTACTTCGAGACCGTCGTTATTTTCAGATAACACATATTGGCAAATTCAGGTTGTGCAATTAAAGTTGGAGCTCTCAACACAACAAACCCACTCCCCCTGCCACACACACACACACAACTGGACTTGTAGCAATAAGGAAAGGGATGCGGAAATGCACTGAAAAAAGTTCTTTGCACACAAATTGGAACGAATGCTCATAGCCAATGTCATCTAACCCCTCTGCAAACATATCAGGATAAACGTTCAATAAGCTGGTCTTCCAGAAGCATCCTTAAAGTGGCTTGCAAAATATCCTCATTATAGAATCATGTGGATCAAAAAATTACATGGCGGCCATGCAGAACCAGAATTATTTAAGCTGTGCTTCCTGTTCTTGTTCTGTGCGGTCAAACCACACAAGTGCCCTGAAGCAAGAGTGTGGGGTTGAGCAGATAGAAGCAATATTCCCCAGGAGAAGGGTTTTTTTCCAGTGGGGACCATTGCTATTATAAGAGAATAAGGGAGGGACTGATGGTGAGTTTCGGCACCTCTTTTTCTAGAAAAATAGCACTGCCCAGGAGGCAGTTGTTCCAGTGGCTGGGACCATATTCCACTTTTAAACTGGCTAATAGACAGCTTGCTTGAATGCATGCTTGTCTTTTAGAGACTATTTCAGGGAGCGAAACACTATTGGTGATGGAGAAGATGAGATCACAGCTAGCAGTCATGTTTGGAGAAGCCTTACATGACAAGGAGGGTTGATTCTTGTTATTGTTGCTATGAGCTACCTTGAAGACCCACATGGATATTAGAAAGATGGGATACAAATATCTTGAATAAATAAATATGGGACAATCCTAGGACCTGGATCGAGTTCTAAGAAATAGACATAAAATTAATCAGGACTTCAACATGTACACCAGGTCTTTATCAATTTGGTTAGAGTATTAATTAAAAATAACAGGTTATTATAATGAAGGTCTATAACAGCAAATCCTGGGTGTGTTGTACACAGAACTTTACTTATGCAAATACTCATTTTAATAACTGTTCTTACCTGAGTCTCAATTATTCTCCTTAGAGCTATTTCTGTGCGGGTCAAGTAATCTGGATATGGATATTTTGGTACACCAGCTAGCAAAAGCTCTTCCCTTTAGGAAAGAAATGAGAAAACTGTTAGATTTTACTTCTGTAACTTTGTAGGAATGCCCACCCTACAAAAGGACCCTTATTGAAATAATGAATGATGCCAAGTCTCCCATTGGCTTGAAAAATCCTGACAACAACGGGCTAGGCTTATTTAAGGCCTTTCCGGAAGGTCAGCTTTTACACTTCTGAGTGAAAACTGCTTAGAGTTATCCTGCAGAAGATTAAAATCTGTCTTAGGTTTCCACAGCTTTACACTGTTCCATGTAGTTCTTGGTTGCTATGTTCAGTTTTTTAAAAAGCCGTTCTACTCTATTATCACTTATTTATTTCAGCAGTTATGCTTGGCTCTATAATTACGCTGAGTGCAGGTTATAATTATAATCATAAAGATCATTAGATGCTGCAGCTTTGTGACTAAAATAAATCACATGCGCATGGTAGGTGTATTCCGGAGGCCTTCTTCTGCCAAACATGTGCGAGGTGTTTAATTTTCAAAGGGGAAAGGGGGAAAAACCTTAAACTGCATCTCTGACCTATGCATTTCTACTCTGAAGTAAGCTCAGTGGGGCTTATTCCCATGAAAGTGCTTACAGGACTACAAACTTAAACATCAAAACCAGAAAAACTAAAGAAGAGATTCAGACAAATAAACCAGCATGCAGGGCAAGCAAAAAGGTTCTGTGTCGTCACATGGACCTCCTCAGGCAGTGTCAGGGGACTGCCATCGGAAAAGGGGAGGGAGGCAGGGGGGCCGTTGGGATAGAGAGAGCCTCCGGAACTCCTGAGGAGCAGTTCCTCTTCCAGCAGTGGGAAAAGCCACACCTCCAGTGGAGAAGAGAGGGAAGGGGCCAGCCAAGCGAGGAAAGGGCTCGAGGATGCTGTTGAGAGCCCCAGCGCCTCACCTCGCCAGGCTGGCCAGGAGGGACGCACGCCACTTCCGTCGCCCAGCTTGCGCAGAGGGGTGAAACGCAAGGAGGGGAGGAGGAGGCTTGGGGTGCCAAAGTTCATATGTGGGGGAAAAGCTGGAAGGGGCCACTCCCGGATTCTGCAAGTGACTGAGACGGACATGAACTTGGTAGATCTGCACTGTAAATAGTTTGCACAATAAAACCTGTAAAAGCCAGGTCGGAGTCCCCTCTGGTTACTCACGAGCAACCACCACCAGCATCTGACAGGCAGGAACTTCCAGAAAGCAGGTGCCATGACTGAGAAAGCCCTCTCATCTGTTCCCACCAGCCATGCCTCCGAATGGAGCGCAGTACACTTTAGGTCTCTCTTTATTTTCTCAGTGGACAAGCACAATAATATGGGATGAGACCATGCTTCAGCTCAGGAGTTGGGAACCTTTTTCATCTTAAGGACTGCAAACCTTCCTGGAGAAACATGGGCCACATACCAGTGGTGGGTCATACCAGAAGCAAAAGCAAACAGTGCAACCAACATGCCTCTTACCTTTGTATAGTAAGCTACATGCCAGTCACACACACACAAGCCAGAGGTTTCTGCACACGCACACCATCGAGGCAAGCAAGCAACATCACCACACATTCTAGCCGGGGAAAAGTTTAATAATAATAATAATAATAATAATAATAATATATTATTATTATTATTATTATTATTATTATTATTATTATTATTATTATTATTATTAATACCCAGCCAATCTGGCTGGGTTTCCCCAGCCACTCTGGGCGGCTTCCAACCGAATATTAAAAACACAATACAGCATTAAACATTAAAAACATCCCTAAACAGGGCTGCCTTCAGATGTCTTTTAAAAGTAAGATAATTGCTTATTGGCTTGACATCTGACAGGAGGACGTTCCACAGGGCCGGTGCCGCTACCGAGAAGGCCCTCTGCCTGGTTCCCTGCAACCTCACTTCTCACAGTGATTTATATCCCACCTTTGCCCCAAGGTGGCATATATAGTTCTCTTTCTCCTTATTTTATCCTCACAACAACCCCATGAGGTAAGTTAAGCAGAGAGGCAATGACAGGCCCAAGGCCACCCAGGGAGCTTCATCACTGAGCGGGGATTTGAACTCCTGATCTCCCAGGTCCTACTCCAATACGCTAACCAGTACACTATACTAGAGACAGTAAGGGACATGGCCAGAGAAGAGGGATAGGTTGGTCCTAAGGGCCTGAGAGGCTTGGGGGATTCCCCACCCCTGCTTTAGGCATCCTAGCCCCAGGTTGTTTGGGGCTTTAAAGGTAGGCCTTGCTCATCCTAGGGCAGGCATGCCCAGACTCGGCCCTCCAGATGTTTTGGGACTACAGTTCCCATCACCCTGACCACTGGTCCTGTTAGCTAGGGATGATGGGAGTTGTAGTCCCAAAACACCTGGAGGGCCGAGTTTGGGGATGCCTGTCCTAGGGCTTTGTGCACAGATTACTTGTTTAATTTGCATGCAGAGCCCTGGGGAGAGGCATCACTGCTTCATCATGTCCATTTTGAAGGGGGAGCCATTTTATTGTATCTTTTATTTACTGAGTTTGCATTGCACTTTACCCCTCCATGTGTGACAGCAAGATTATAATGATGAAAGCAAAGTAGTTACAGCTGCTGGCCCACTGAGGACACTTTCATGCCAGTATGGTTCCCCTTTATCACATACACAGCACAACAGGACAAGGACTTATTCCCACCCCCAACTGCATATGAATCGATATGGCTAATCTGACCCAACAACCTAACCCTGCCCCCTCAACACATATAAACAAGTCACACTGCAATCAACTGAATGCAACCAACCAAGTTTGGGACCCCCCAATCTCTCGCATGATCAATAAAAATAAATAAATACCGGTACATAAACAAAGGATCTACCCACATGATGCTGACACAGACCCTACACTAATAACAGGCAATAGGACAAAATAACAATATGCCCATCTCTCTCCCTGCCACTCTTCCCCCAACTGCAAGATGTCTTTGACAAAAGTGTCTCTCGCTTTATGTAAACAGACTGTGAAAAAGGCTGTGAATTAAAAGTGGAGACAATAGATTACCTTTCCCTGTTTATCTGTTTGTTTTGTAACACAAAACAGTTCCATAAAAACCATTTTAACACACACAGAGAAAGAAAAGAAATCCAAAAGGCTCTGCAGGAAAAAGCTTTTGAATTTTGTCTATTTTCTTCAACATTCCAATAAAACCTTTCTTACAGAAGAAGCACTGGAATTAAAACCTAACCCAAGACTTGTGTCATGTATGGCATCTGATCTTGCCAGCGTTTCAGAGTTTTTGACTACTTGGTTGGTTAAATTCCTTTCAGCCTCTTAGTTCGTGTCAGCTCCCTCTGAATTTTGTGCAATATCATTTCAGCAGGAGAAGCCATCTAAATCGCTTAGCTTTTCCTTGGCATTGATTTTGCGGCACCTGGAGTGCAATCGGTAGTTTGCTAAGTGTGCACACAAAAATAGCTTCGAATTGATTTAAAGTGAGACTGGCAAGCACAAACTGATCCAGTACATCACGACCCATGCATGGAACTAGGTGAGAACTGCAGTATTTCAAGTGAAGAAAAAAGAAAAAAGAAAAGAAAAAGGCTTTGTGTCTCCAGTCAAATCCTCTTCTGGAGTTGCCATTTTAAACAATTAATCCATAAACTTTTGCTTGGTGTTGTAAGTGCACTACTATCACGGATCAACACAAGGGATAAACAACCTCCACTTATATGCTACACTTTCTGCGCCTTCCTTAAGGAGGGCTTTTCTCCTATCCAAGGCTTAGAATTGGCAGAGCCTATCCTTGACCACTGGGGCTGGGTCCTATGATGGCTATCTCTGACCTAGAAGGAGAAGGTGCTACAGCTTCCTCTCATTCCTCACTAAACCTCCGACTTCCTCTCATTCCTCTATCCAGCTTTTGGGTTTTTTTGTACAAAAAAAAAAGTTATGCAGGCTAAATCTAGTACTGTTTCTCAATGCTGAAAAAGTAGGAAAGCTGTGCAATATTCAAGAAAATCCAGTCAATACCAAATCATTTGTTTTAGGAGAATAGTATAATATAGAAATTGAAACTATAATCATAATTATTCTAAATACTGGTTACTGTCATGCCATGGCTAAACTAGGGGCACCTCAACATTGCAGGCTCCATGTTTCCGTCTCCTGTTCAAACAAACACAGTAGCACCAGGTCTGAACTGAAACAGTCCCCTTGTTGAGTCAGCTGGGTTACTTTCTCAGGTTTCAATGGATGACTTTAGCCCACCAGCCAAGCCACCTCTTCACCTTACATTTCCTTAAACCTTGGGCTTCACAGCATCTGATCTTTTGTAACTTTGAACCCTTTCTTCCTGCTAATGGTTCACACCTGGGATTTAACCATTGCTGTGAGTCGCCTTGCTACCTTCAACTCTTGGTTTGGGCTCCAAAAGCTGATGCCTTCACATTCCTCCTCAGAAGATTTCCATTCTTCTTCCTCACGAACCCCAGCTGCCTTATATCCCAGACCCATAGACTCCCCTTCTCCCCAACGCTTCCTCATTCTGTGGTTCCACTTCCTCATCTGGTCTGAGCCCACCAGAACTTCTTGTCTACCAACTTTCCTCTGGTTTAAATGCATTCCAAGGCTGCTATGTTAAATAAAGAAGTTTAATAAAAATAAACCATTGTGCTTGAATGCATTGTACTTAAAATGCTATGCAGAGAGCTTTGCATCGGACAGGAGGTCTGTCTATAGCAAATGCAGCGAGATGAAGTTGAATGTTTATGTTCAGGTTAACTGACTTCTCCCAGAAACCCAAGCAGAGATCTCTCTTAGCATGAAATGAAAGCTGAGAACTCATTGTCTTTGTTGGTCATCGAAGCTCAGTGATGATGAACAAGCAAGGTGCTTACATAGGATTTCTCTCTAGACCTAGAGAGAAAAGTCACTGAATTGTATTACTGAGCTTAAAGAAGAAGAAGAGACTGCACTACTTGTTGTTTAAGAGCAATGTGTCACTGTACTTACTATTTTGTAACCTTTACTTATAACTATTTTAAGACT